TTTGAAATATTTTTGTTGCATTCTATTCATTAGCCTTTAGCCTAAGGCATTATTTTGTCTGATGCCAAATTATTTGTTAGACACAATACTGTGATCTCAGAAAGGTCAAAAAAAGGTTTCTGAACCAAGTTAAAATTGGGGATAGATGTTTTGACTCAGTTGATGGCTATTGCTGGTCAAAAATGAGCATAACTGGTTGGCAAATACAGTTATGTTCTAAGGACATGGCAAACAAGCTGGATGATCAATGTCAACCTATGTAAAACATTACTGGTTGATGATGATTGGTGCTCCCAGTCCCATTAATATGTGAGGCAGATTAATGCATGCAAAAGTGGGCTCAGTGTGCACTATGTGGTGCAAACCTGATTGAACAGAAAATATGTCCTTAACCTGGTATGGTCTTGACTCTGACATTAGACACATCAGAAAAATCACGATTATCCGCCCCCCCCCCCCTCCCCAACCCTTTCCAATGCAAGGCAATTAGAGTGGTGATGTAGTTATCCCTTTCCCCTCGCCCTTCAGAATGGCGAAGTTGCAGATGACCGTCAGAACGAATGTGAACCCTTCCTTGTCCCGCTGGCACTGCAGCAGCTGAGCGCGTGCGCGCTAACGTCGACGGCGCGTGCGGGCAGATGGTGGCGCGGCCGCGATGACGGCACGGCCGCCGGCCGGGCTGACGCAGCTGGCGCCGCCGGCGGGCGTGCTGTCGCCGGCGCCGTCGGCCACCCTCTCGCCGCCGCTCTCTGAGCCCGAGCAGCGGCCCGGCGAGGCCACGCGCACTCCGGCTGCCGGTCGACTCAAGTTCTTCGGCAGAGGTGAGCTGGTCGGCGCGCGGCGGCGGCGTAGGGCACGCTGTCGCGTATGGCGCCGCGGGGCCAGGCGCCGGTGCGGGGCACTGATCTCTATGGGCGTCGCCCCACGCTGGACAGTAGGTAGGGTGAATGAAGCGGGGAAGATGTGGCAAGATGCCCCCTTTCGCAGTAGCGTATCGTAGCAATGCCAACAGTCGCACGGTTTCGTTGTTGTGTTGATTTGCTCATATTCGGCAGTGGAACTTTTATTGTTGGTGAATTTTACTATCATTTCTCTGCACATTGCTTTCCCCTGCAAGGCCTCACCCAAGCCGTAAGTGCAGCGCCCGGGCTTGGCGTACTGACCGTGCCGGCTGGTCCGCAGACGGTCACGTGCTGCTGGAGCTGTCGCACGGCCCGCCGGACGGCTGGCAGCGGCGCTGGGTGGCCGTCAGCCGCGACACCTGCTGGCCGCCGACGACGGTCGCCGCGCCTGTGGACACCATCGCCGCTGGCGCCGGTACGGACGACCGGCGCGACGGACACGCCGGTACGGACGGCCGGCGCGACGGACACGGGGGCTCTGGCGCCGGTACGGACGGCCGGGGCCCCGGACACAGGGACTCTGGCGACGGTACGGACGGCCGGCGCGACGGACACGGGGGCTCTGGCGCCGGTGCGGACGGCCGGGGTGACGGACACGGGGGCTCTGGCGCCGGTGCGGACGGCCGGGGTGACGGACACGGGGGCTCTGGCGTCGGTGCGGACGGCCGCGGCGCCGGTACTGACGGCCAGGGCGACAGACAGGGGGGCTCCGGCGCCGGTGCTGACGGCCCGGGCGACGGACACGGGGCTCCGGCGTCGGTACGGACGGCCGGCGGGCTCTCGGCGGACACGGGGCTCTCACTCTCACAAGCCAGGGAAGGCTTACGGGATCGGGCAGGAACAAGTGCGAGGACCTGTGATGTGTTTTTTTTTTGTGGTGATTAGTTTGTCGTGCTTTTGTATTAGCTCACCGATCACAATTTTCCATCAGAGGGATTGATGGGTTATTATCGTATTAAGCTCTACCTTGTGTACTGCTACGTTCAAAGACACGCAATCTCGATACGATGCACTCTGTTTGGTTACGTCTTGCTGCCTGTTCCAAGCGGCTAGGCGTGTTTCTGTGATGGGGAGACTTGCCTCGCATGCTTACCGCCAGCTATTGCTTCGCTGTTGGCCCGACAGATGGCCGATCATCGCCGGCCCCACGGCCGCCGCCGGCTGGGCGTCGGAAGCAGTGTTCGCCGCGTCGGCGTCCGGTTGGCACGCTGCTCTGGCAGGGCCGGACCGGCGGCGCCGGGTCGGACCAGGCCGCCAGGCGGCGCCTCGGTCGGCGGCCGCGGCACGCCGCCGCCCCGGCCAGCTCCGCGCCGGCAGCGCCGGCCGGCCGGCCGCCGGCGGCGAGCGCGCGGGACCCGGCGGCGCGGGACCCGGCGGCGCGCGCCGCCGGGTTGGTGGCCGCCGTGCAGCGGCTGGCCGAGCGACGGCAGCGCTGCGGTCGCCGCGCTGGCACGCCCGGCACGCCGGTCGCGTCCGCCGCCCGACAGGCCCCCCGGAAGCGGCCGCCCGACGCCGGCCGCGCGCCACGCGCCGCCCTGCGCCCTGCGCTCGGCGCCGGCGCGCACAGAGCGTCGATGGTGCATAGCATCGACTCGCTGCTGGCGGCGTCGGGCCGTCCGGCCGAGCCGCCGCCGCCGGCGCCGACGGACGGGACGCCGCCGTACCGGAGCGCTCCGCTCGTGGCGTACCTGGAGGCGGCGGCGACCGGGGCGCGGCTGTGCGCCGTGCCGCCGCCGACCGACTGTCCGGCGCCGTTCCCTCTGGTCTCGCCGCTGCTGTACGCGCGGCTTAGCCAGACGGCCGTGCACCGGCCGGTGCCGCTGCTGCCGCGGCCCAGCCCCGCCCACCAGGCTCCACTGCACGCGTTCGCCTTCGACTACGGCCAGTGCCGAGACGGTAAGCGCCCGGGTGTAGTGGGAAGCTGTGTGGTGGTTGAAAATATGTAGTAAGGAAATTTTCTTGGACGATCTATGGATGGCTCCAGTGCTGCTGACTTCCTCCTAGTATCGTTAGAGGCTGGCTGCCTGCCTGTTTTTGCCTGTATTTCGTCATGGCCACATATACAGAGGTGTTAGGTATCAAATGAACGTACGTAATTACCCCTAAAATGAGGAGGGTTGAGAGATCAATGTGCTCGGCGGACCTGTCCCGCTCGCCCTCGTAACGCTCACGTACTCTCCTTTTTCAGAGGCACCCTTGAATCTGTCGAAGAGGTAGCACCAGGTGCTGCCACTTTCTCCTCTGCCTCTGTCCACTCCTGCAACCCAGCGAGGCAAGCTGAAAAACCCTTTGCCGACTAATGGTCTTTCGGTGACAGGTCATGCGGCGTGACGTCACTCGTCAATCCACTCGTCAGCATGCTCGTACGAAGCCTTGTCTACCTGATAATTTTGTACCGCCTTTTCTACTGAGCGATCTCTCACTTCGGCGCGTGGTTTGCGCCGCGTCTCCGCCTCCGTCCCGACCGTTGCTGTTCATGAGGAGTTCCACGGGGTGCCCGGCCGCGTGCTGTTCGGGCCGGACCGGGGTCGCCGGGAAGTGTGTGTGCCGGCAGCCAGGCGCCGCCACTGTGCCATCTCTAGTGCGCCAGCCGCGGAGCGGTCCGCCTCCGCCGGTTCGGCGGCACGCGTTGGGGAGGGGGGGGGGGGGGGCACGCTGGAGCTCGACAGGCCAGCGATCTCAGTTTGGCGCCCGCGCCGGCCTGCGGCGGTCGTTGTTTTGTTTCGCTGCCGTGGAGGGAGGCGCTTAGAAGCGTTATTTGTTTGTTATCCAGGTGACACTGCGTTAGTGTGCTTGTTTCGTGCTGATCTGCTTGCCTGTACTGGTGTACCGGCGCTCGCCCGTGTGTGTTTGTGTGGGGGGGGGGGGGGGGCATCTGGGGCCCAGGAGCGACCAATGCGCGGTCCCGACGCTTCCCATGATTCATTATATGGAACTGTCCAGACCATTGGACTCCATTTGTGCCGCTATGCTTTCTTCTCAGTGCCTTGGAAACCGCCATAGAGTGAGCGTACAATACCCTCATTACTCGTGCCAACTGCTTAGTGAACAGATTGCGTTTATACTTGTCGAAGTCGTCGAATATGTCTCTACGTGTATTTATTGGGCAGCCAGTTGAATGCAGACCAACTTTTCACTGCATTCAGATGTATTGCTAGTGTAGATAGTGTTGCTACAGCAAATGCACAAGTACAATCATACAGCTGTTTATTTTGGGGGCATGAAGCACACCGTTCTGATTTGCGTCAAGCACTGGCATGAGCCATTGCCAGCAGTGCTACCCAGATTATACACTGATACTCAAACCATGTCGAGGCCTACATGAATGTGTTGTACAAAAGAACGAAGGACGCAGACACATCGCGTGCCACCACCAGTGTCGGCGGGCAAGGGACAGCGAAGCGGCGACTCAGTAATGCTGGAGCGCTATTCTTCCACTTACCAACAGCAGAGATCAGGTGGTGTCAGGGACGCGGGAACTGGAGAGTTCGGGGGAGGCTTAGTCTCAAATTCTCCAGACATTTAGCGTTAGCTTTATGGGCGCTAATTGGGGTAAATAGCTAACTCCCTCCTCTTCTTTGGGAGGGCTCCCATTGCCCCCGGCTGGGGCTTCGCTCGGCTCGCGTTTGATGTCGGGGTTATCACCAGGTTCTAACGCGTAATGGGTGGGAAAACTGATGATGTGAGGTGAACAAACAGGTGCCTAGAATAACGAAGGAAGGAAAAGGTCGCCTTTCCGCGCAAGGGGATCACGACGGGCGCGCCGGTGTTTCCGTGGTGGGATTGTACCCATTCCGGCCCCCCCCCCCCCCCCATCGGCCAAGGTGGGATGGTGTTTGTCACTCGGAACTTGCCACGGCAAATGTTGCATGCATATTTCTGAAGTTCTGAGGTAAAATGAAGTGGGCAGGATCTGGTGCAATGCCTAATTATTCAAACCAATCATCTCAAATCAAAGTGGTTCCTCGTTATTGGACCCAAGTATAAATGCTCCTGATGAACACAAAGGCTGCGCACATGAGGCATCTGGACTACCAATCGGGCGCTTCTGTTATTGGCTTCGAAACATCGGTAAATTGTCATACGCGAGGGCGGGCGTTTGGGTCGGCGGTCTGAGGGGCTGTTATTGTCCTTGCGGACATGTTTGTGCACGCAGCAGGCTCAAATACGTATCAGGCTGGAGGTAAGTTGAAGCTGGAAGAATCAAGGTCATTGGCATTCCATACGAAATGCTTGTCTGGGTGTTGGTTTGTTGACAGTATCTTCCCAGCTTCTGATGTTTTGTTTTGGTGCGCGTTTGCTGGCTTCTTGATAGTATGCGTTGGAAGAATGCGCATTGAGGAGGCTTAGGTCGTAAAACATCAGCATATGAGTGCAGTCAATTTTCTTGTAAGATCCTCGATATTTCATCTCAGTTCATGATGCCTGTCATACTCCACATTGCTTATTATCTGGTTAATGGTAATTACCGATATGTGTCGTGGTGCACCATGTTCATTGATGAGGAACTCATGCTCATCCTGTGTTTTTTACAGATTATGTTTATTGTGAAGTGTCCCCCACAGATCCATACCAGGTTCGCAGAATTGAAGAACTGAAACAGGTGACAATTTAGGATGCCGCTGTGTGTCATATTTTGTGCCTGTTGTGTTGTTTTTTAGCTTCAGCAATTGGAATTAACTATGAAAAGACTAGAAGAGGGACCAATTTAATGGAAGTGTTTGTAACTTGCATTACTGTTAGCAAAACCTGTGCAGACATTGGCAGATTGCATGTAGTAAATAACAAATATTAACCATGCCTTGAATGCAAACATCATATTTTAACTGTGTGTGATGATGTGTTGTATTTGGGTATTTGTTACCACAGTTTTTTTATTTGGCTCAGTTAGAGGCTAAATGGATGCTATTTTTGGGGTATTTCACTTGCACAATGTAAACACAGGGAGGGGAGTTACGCCCATTTTAATCAGTGTGTTACCAGAATGGAGAAAGGGTTGAAAAATTGCCAAAATGTAAAACATTCTATTGATATCCACAGTAAACTTTTCTTTTTTATCTTTTTCAGTGCTGTGTGTATGGTATTCAAACTTGATAAGCTGAGTGAGTGTAAAATGCACACTGAGAACAAACCACATTTGCAGAATACTGGCAGTGTTGTAGAAGCCAAGATGACGTTGTCTGTACCGTCGTGGAGGACAATCCCATCATCCTCTAATTGCATCAATAGGTGAGCTTTGGTTTAAGTGGTATGTCTGTCCATTTACAGAAACATGCATTTTATTGCCCTCTGTCCACCAGCGATTGCACAAGTGATGCTGGTTTACTCTTCCACATGTGTGCAATGTTAGTTATATCATGTGAAACTGCAATGAAATTGATATGAAACCAATGCAAATGAAAGAGCAAAATGCAAAACACATTCAATGAGTGCAAGTCATATGCTAAATCTGTGAAACGTTTGTTGCTTTCCAATGACATTCTCACAGGATTCAACTTACCATCGTGACCAGGTTCCATATGTGTGGCCCCAGATACCATAGAGCTGGATCGAGGTGGAGCCAAAGACGCTGGGTTTGGTGGCCGAAGCTCTCAGCCACGCCACTTGGTGGACCAGCGCGAGCTGTTCCCATCCCGCCAGGTGGAGACGCTGCCGGCATCATGCATCCGCGGCCGCTGCTTCGTCACCCTGCTCACCGCCTCAGAACAGGCAGAGCAGTACCTGGACCGCGAGGTGCGGACCTGGGAACCTACGGGTGGGGGGGGGGGGGGGGGGGGGGGGGGGGGGGGAGAGGAAGGATCGGCGAACCAGGTGAAGTAGTGAAGAAGAACTCTGTTGGGAGTAAAGATGGGGTTCGCGTCGTCAGGCTCGCATTAGGGTGCCTTCAAGACATGGTTCAGCAAAGCTTCATCACATCAGGGCCTTGCATACAGCAAGGCAGGCAGGGTACTTGGAGGAGGGTGTGCTGTGAACCTCACTGCATAGCATTGCATGCACTGGGCGAACAAATGAACCGGACGAATAATTTCGCACTGCTACCGGTACAACACTGACAGTTCGTTTATCACAAGAAGGAGGCACATGCCGTGCCTGCCCTGAGCACTCCCTGCCACCCCACCAGCACGTCATCAGTGTCTTGTCTCCCGCTGACAGGACAGCTTCTTCTACACGCTGCTGTATGACCCAGTGCAGCGCACCCTGGTAGCGGACCGCGGCGAGGTGCGGCTGGGTGAGCGCCACCAGGCGACAGTGCCGGCAGTCGGCGAGCCGGGCGCGGCGACCGGCCGTGACACGCTGCTCTGGAGCCCGCGCCACCGACTCACCGACGACCAGCTGGACCGGTTCCTGCTGCTGGCCCGGTCAGTGGGACAGGGACGAGGGGGTATGGTCTGTGGGGTTTGGTGCTGATATGCATGGTGAGGTGAAGTGGGCCAGACAAAGAAGTGTGATGTCGGAAAGTATGGTTTACTGTTATGCAGTGATTTTGTGTATGTGAGAGAAGCTTTGACTGATTTTGGTGTTTACATTTGAATTTGCATGCAGAAGTGTGGTTGGCCAAAATGTGATTGCCAACATAAAACCGCAATCGGATTTTGGGTCGCAGCGATGAGCTAGAGGACGTGACAACGACTGTATGATGCGTCAGACGTCTGTCAGTCTGCGTTCAGAATGCAGAATGCATGCAGAGAGAGCACTCTGTGCCTGCCTTTAGAATACTGTTGTCCCTGCCCTCACAATACCCCAAGAGCAAACCTTCCACAGCCAGAGAGTGCTCCCTATGTTCACCTGCCCGCTGCACCGCCTTTCCTCCACATGCACCTACTACCCCCAGCATTGCCTTCTCTCCGCGTGCACCTAATGTCCCCAGCATCGCCTTTTCTCCGCGTGCACCTAATGTCCCCAGCATCGCCCTTTCTCTGCGTTCGCCTTCTGCCCTCCGCACCGCCTGTTCCGTATTCACCCGCTGCACCACCTTTTCCACGCGTGCACCTACAGTGCCCTCTGCAACGCCTTTTCCCTGCGTTTACCCCCTGCCCGATGCAGCGCCTGTTCTCCGCGTGCGCCTCTTCACCGGTGCACCGCCTGACAATGCGTGCTGCGCCGGTCGCCTCAGGTCGGTGGGCACTTTCGCGCGCGCGCTGGACTGTCCCGGCTCAGTGTGCCAGCCGAGCCTGCACCTGGCCGCCGCCGCCGCGTCCAGGGATGTGACTCTGGTGAGGTCCCGCCCTCCACCTGTCCGTGAGGCGAACCCCGACTCATTGATGCGGTTAACTTCAGTTGGGTGGCCGGCTCATCTATTACTGCTGCACGTAATCACATTTTGTATGTACTGAGCGTTAGATGCTTTGCTACATCTGTCATGTGTAAGTTGTCCGCAGAACTGTGGTGTGAGACAGGCTCTGGTCTGTCAGGTGACAGCCGACGGCTGGTGGCGGTTCGCATCGCGTGGAATGCAGAATCTTGCACGTGGCTGTGACCTGTGCCGGACCGTGCTGCGTCTGAGGTGTGCGACTCGGGATCCTGTCCGGCGTAACGGTCCGGACGCGCGGGAGTCCCCCGGGAGAGCGTGCGGGACTCGGGGCCGCCGGCCTGACCTCTGGGGCGCTCCGCCGCAGCTCCACGCCATGGACACTCTGCACCGGAGCGGGTACGACCTGGCGGCGGCGCTGGCGGCGCTGGTGCCGTCCGGCGGTGCCTCGCTGTGCCAGGACCAGCTGGAGGCCTGGTCCGCCGACGAGGCGGCCATCTTCGAGCGGGCGCTCGGCAAGCTCGGCAAGAACTTCGCGGAGATCAGGCGAGACTTTGTGAGTGCTGTATGGTGGAGGCTGGAAGGCTGAGGCTGCGGCTGTCTTGCTCAGACTTGGCTGTCGTTTTTGGCTGCCTGACAAATGAGTGCCTGTAATCGCAAGCTTCCTCGTGTGAATTTGTTTATATCGCAATGAAATGAAGCCGTTCGTTTTTATGCCGACCTTACTACCTGCAAAATGCGCTACCTTTGCTGAATTAATGCGTCTGCGTATATTTCCTTGCAACTTTCTGACATTGAGTGACAGTATGTATTTCACGTACCGCATTAAGTCGGCGTACACCTGACCGAAAAGCTCCGCGCT